CTCACCCACTGCCTGGCACGGAGGGTGCTCAGTCCGTGCCGTGGTGCAGAGCTGGACAGAAAGGCTTTGTGTGCCCCACCACAACCCCGTGGCTGCTGTCAGCACCCTCGGGGTGCGGGTCCCTGCTCTAATCCCCGTTTGTCTGCAGCTCTGCGGAGCCTCATGGCACCCGCTGACGGTCATGCCTAGGGCAGTGCCGGGGCACAGGGACACCCCGCGCTGCGGAGGGTTGTGTTTGCACGCCGTGAGGAGCAGGGCTAGGGGTCTTCCTCCCTTCTCCTGGGTGAGGGATGCTCTCTTCTGAAAGGGCTGCGCCCACGGGACCCAGCCAAGCCGTGGGGACGGGACCCAGAGCTGAGGCAGCTCCAGCACTTGCACCGCCTGGGTGTGCAGGCTGGGGCTGTTGGTTTATGCAGCCTGGGGGGTGGATCTGGGCTGTGGCTCTCATGCATGCTGCTGGGATCGCAGGTTGCCTTGGCTCCTCACCAGGAATTCTCCTGAGGGGTTGGTTTGGGTGGCTTTTCTTTCTGCTCTGGCTGCTGAGCTGATGGAAGACTCACCTCGAAGCAGCGCGATGCTGCTGGTTGCACTCAGCAGTGTCTCCCGGCAGCTTGGGGCAGGACAGTGCCTCTTTTCCCCTGGGGTCACTGGCTTGCATCCGTGAGTTTTGCTTCCCTCGTACCTCGGTGGGAGCAGGGAGCGGGTTGCGTGCCAGGCTTTTAAGGTGTGAATGAGCTGAGACTGTGCCTGTTGAGGAGGCTCTGTGAGGTTGCATGTTGCACCCAGAGAGACCTTTGGGGGTTAACGAAAGCAACAATCCTTGTCCCCTAAATGAGACTCTGCTGTGCTGGAGATGGCTGTTTGGAGAGAGGCACACCGAGCTTTTAGCTGCGATGGCAGCAGATGAGGAGGTGGCAGCTTGGAGACAGCCGCCCTCATCGTATTGGAGCTCTGTGCTTCAGAGCCCGGCTTGGCTGGTTACGCTGACCGGGCTCTGACATCGCTCCTCTGATCACCCGATCAGCCCTTCTGTCCCTAACTGCAGGGTTAGACCAGACCAGGAGAGCAGTCGTGAGCGGTTGGGCTCACGGTTCATCTCCCGTGGGCAGGAACAAACACCAGAGAGAGGCCGTTTGGCCCTGGCAGGGGCAGGCCTTGGCAAGATTCCTGCCGCCTCGCCTGAGCAGGGCACGTGGCCCTGCCCTTGCTGCCGCTGCTCCAGAGACCAGCGTGGGGGGTGACGGGCAGGCAGCGGCTGTTCGGTGAGATGCAGAGGTGAAGGGTGGGCTCTTGTCTTCCACAGGTGTACAAGGGCTTGGACATCATCACCAACAAGGTTTCTCCCCAGGAGGGCCTTGGCAAGATTCCTGCCGCCTCGCCTGAGCAGGGCACGTGGCCCTGCCCTTGCTGCCGCTGCTCCAGAGACCAGCGTGGGGGGTGACGGGCAGGCAGCGGCTGTTCGGTGAGATGCAGAGGTGAAGGGTGGGCTCTTGTCTTCCACAGGTGTACAAGGGCTTGGACATCATCACCAACAAGGTTTCTCCCCAGGAGCAGCGTCTCTGCAGACACCACATGATCAGCTTTGTGGATCCCCTTGTCTCTAACTACACGGTGGTGGATTTCAGAGACAAAGCCGTGGCTCTGATATCCTTTTGCGCTACTGCCTGCCTGGCTGAGCAGATATGGACTTCTCCCCTCCACAGCCAGCCCTGCAGGAGGGATGAGTGTTTGCATCAGCCTTGGGCTCTCCACGTTGCAGCTAATGCCTGTTTTCGGAGGATACTGCTGATGAGGGGGCTTGGAGCTTCTTTAACTCAACTAATGCTCAAGGCAGCCCACCCTTGGGGCTGGCTGGGGAAGATCTCTGCAGCACTGCAGCAGTGCTGAGCTGGTTATTGCCCTCCCTGGGTATCCCTGAGTTTTGCTGGTAGCTGGCAGCTGGTAGCAGAGAATAGTGAGAGATGAGGAGCGCCCGTAACCCTGTCGTTCAGCCTCACCAGCTCTGTGGGGTTGGGCGAGTGGGGTTTGCCGCTCCCCACAGCACTCCCTCCTTGCCGCGCATCTCTGCTTACGCCCCCTGACTCTGGCACATTGAAGATATCTTTGCTCGAGACAAGATCCCAATTGTTGTGGGAGGAACCAACTACTACATCGAGTCCCTGCTCTGGAAGGTCCTTATCGACACCAAGGTAGCGTTGGAGGCACCATATGCCTCTGGGAAAGGGTGAGCCCCGTGTTCAGGGCAGGGTTCCTGCAACCGGGCATCGTGCTCCCCCTGCTCGAGTGGGTCAAGGAGAACCAAAAGCCCCTGATTCACCCTGTGGGTCTGGGGGATTGTCTTGCTTGTGCTGACCTTCCACACAGATGAGTCCATGACTCGGGGCTTGCTTGTTCCCCACAGGAGAAGGCCGGCACAGCCCCCGGGCCGGTCACTGACAGGAGAGTGGAGCTGGAGCAGCTGGACGGCGTGGAACTCCATCGCCGCCTGAGCCAGGTGGACCCAGAGATGGCAGCCAAGCTGCACCCCCACGACAAGCGCAAACTGGCCCGGTGAGCTCGGGGTGCCAGGAGCATGGGGTGCCAGAGCTCGGCACCCCTTCCTAGGGGAATAGTGAGCCTGGGAACACGGCTACAGGGGCTTTCCCATGGTGGGAGGGTGCTCCTGGCCTTTTAGCAGGGTGCTTGGAAACCTTGGAGTGGTGGTGCTGGGGAGTTATCTGGGATCTGCGACTGGGCTGTGCAGCCCCATCTTGAACCACCTTTGGGGTCGGGGACAGCGCATTGCTCGTGGCTGGGGCACACCGGGGCTGCTCCTGCTGCGGTGCCCCAGCAGCAGAGTTTATCTGGAGCTATTTAAAGATCAAGCTGCCGTGCTGGCTGAGTAACATAGCTGAGCTGTGTGGGAACAGTGCGGCAAGCAAGACCAGGCTTGCTGCTTTTG